ACTCCGCCCAGTTCTCCGCCTGTATGATTGTTGCTCTCCATGGGTCGATCGGGCGGGCGCTATTAAAGAAGTGTTCGGCGCATTTCGTATTAAAAACATTAAAGCTACATACTTGTGCATCAACATTCAATACCCCCCGTTACCGATAAAATCAATATTGAAATATTGCTTTTTTTTCACGAATCTTTATTGACCATTGCTTGCTTGATCACCAAGACACCAACACTCCAAAGCTGGATCCAAATCTGTGCGCCTTCGCCGCACTTGCCTTACCTTTCGATGCGGTGGTGACGTCTTGCAAGTCGGCTGCGGCCGGCGGTGAAAAACAAGCCCGAACTTGAAACGTTTCCCGCTACGTTACCTTACCATCACGTAGTACACGGCATAAATCTAGTTTTTAACAATTTTAAATTTGTTTGGAGCGACGAACTGTCTTTAAGACATACATACTACATGTTCACTGTGGTACCGGCCGTGCGTAGAAGGGGTGCGTACTTAATTCGAGTTTTTCCATTTTACGTTTCAGACGGGAATATTTGTCTCCCACCAGCCCCAAATCGGGGGTGCGTACTTTAATCGGGAATTTACGGAGGGAGAAAGAGACATGGACTGGAAAAATGGGGGGGAGGGCCACCGAAAAATTTTTTGGGGTGGGGGAGGGCCATTGAAAAAAATTTTGAGCCGGGGGAGGCCATGGAAAAAAATTTTGAGCCGGGGGAGGCCATGGAAAAAAATTTACCGGACCATTTTGCACCAGCCCTCCCCCCCCGGTAAATATCGTACAGTCCCTAATGAAAGTGACCATAGCAAAGCTGCACTGCTATTGAAAAAGCATTATGCTTTGTCTCAAGCATTACAGGCTTTGAGCTTTTTAGAAAGGAAAAGGAGGAACATTGTCCCCAAGTACAGTAGGGGCATCCCAATTTAAACAATTGGTATTGGTACTAGTATTCTACACCAAATACACTGACAGTAAAATACAGTCTGACACAGATGCTTGTGTTATTTTACTTTGATTGACACATGCAACATCAGAGATTATGACTCCCA